CCCGAATAAGAGACCTAATTAAGAGGTTGAGAATGTGTCTCGTTTGTGTTATTGTTACTATTTTGTAGATACCTTTTGGGAACTGGTACTTTCTCCCACTCTGATGAGTCTAGCTTTTTGATATGCAATGTCATAATGTTCTTGAGACCCCTGAAAACCCCGAAAATTATAAACTGGTTTAGAGCACATCTGCGGATGTAATGTTTGTTGTTTTAGTGTTTGTAAAGACCTTAAACCCGGGTCGTTTATGCAATGCGTGAGGAACCAACCCTGAGAGCAACCATATCCCGAATAGATAATCTGCAACAACAACAACAAAAAGGTTGGATTTCCTACTTGATTAATAAACTCTTAAGAGATTTGGTATTAGTACCTTATTGGCGATAGGGCCATTCGCAAGGTAAGGCTTTTCGTTGCGCAAATGGTGAAAGCCGTAAGCCACTTGAGCATCCATACCTATGCTAAAGTAATTGTAGAACACTCCTTCATAGCCATTCATGGATGGAGGCAGCTCTCCCTCTATCTCCAAACTCTACAACACAAAGATTAATTAATCACAATCCACTTAATTATCACAAAGAGTTTTTGTGAATTAATTAAAACACAAACCTGGTCAATGTAACATTCTTGTGTAGACTTTAAAGAATAAGGAGGATCCACAATCTCACCAGAAGGCATTGTAATCAAAATAGTCCAACTGCATCAAATAGTTTAACTTCAAAAGATTAAGCAAAGAGCTGAAAAAACATATTGTTTATATAACGCCTTTGCGAAGACCGGGCTTTATTTACCTATCTAGACGGCTTATGGGAGCAATACTTGCCCTATGAAGCGTTCGTTTTATCGCAGACTTCCACGCAAATGGGAACGAACCTCCCTACAACACCATTAGACCTCTAATCAAAACAGAGCTTTTCATAAGATTTAAGGATACAAATAAAGACAATAAGATCTTGTTTTCACCCATCCAAAGCTTCTAGAAAGATCGTTTCCCGTTCCGAGCGGCATTATCGCAACAGGAGGAACAGGTTGCCGGTTTTGTACATTGAGTTCCCCGAGACATCCTAGAACCCAACCAACGGTTCCATCTCCACCTGCAACCTGTAATGAGTGATCAAACTAGTGGCAACAAAAAACAAAATTCCAAATTTCACAAATTTTAAATTGGATCAATCAAACAAAACCAAAAAAACAAAAAATTACCACAATTCTCATCTTTTCACGAATCTCTTTAGCACATTCATCACCTTGAGACGCTAATGCCTCTAAACAACCCAATCCATATCGAATAAACTCGTGCGGCTTCACTTCCGTTAAATCAAACACCTGAAAATGTGATCAGATTAGTAAATTCAA